TTCGAAAACACTGCGCATGAACAACCTTTGATATGTTTCAAACAGATGGACTGGTGAAAAGGAACTATGAACCATTTGGGGTTGTCACTCGAGATCCATGGATGGAACGGGTCTTACTGAACAAGTTGAGCGTCATGCTCATGATTATTGAAGAGATTGGCTTGTCTTAGCCACGACGAACGCCTTGTGTTTTGGTTTTTTCCTCAATCTCTGGTTTTGTATGCAAGAAGACCAAAAAGAGGTTCCGTCATCAGCAGACATTCGTTTCGGTCACTTTCTATTAAGACAGCCAGCTGAGGTGATTTTTACCAGGAGTTCGTAAAATTGTTTTCTTTTTGGGAAGACAAATGTATTCGATACAAACGTTTGGTGCTATCAGTTTCTTCTCAAATAGATCCATGGCGATGAGGATTGTTCAAGCCGTTGTGTGAAAACCGTTGCAGGTCACCCGCGGATGACAAACCATACGGATTACAACGCTTGGTTAAATGGTATTTCACTGCACGTTTTGTATCAGATCAATGCTTCATTGTTCCAACATGAACTTGATCTAATTCTTCTGTTTTTCTCCTTCCATCCAAAGGGTCGACAAGCCACACCATTTTTCTACATCAAATATCGACGAGAAGTGACCGGGGTTTGGTTCGAATACCGAAAGGATAATGGCACACAGGTGAGCCTAATCAAACCTATCATGTTCGCGTACAAGCAGTGCTCAACTTTTTGATCCCATTTCAACCGTAGGCAATGTAACAAAACACTGGAATTACGTAGTTGTATGCAATAAGAGTTAATTAACTGATTGTTTAGCATTTGTAATTGGAAAATCTTTACAACTCTATAGCTCGAGTATATATTGAAAAAAATCAACCAGTACCGTAAAATCTAGACCCGGCTATTGGGTATCGTTTTGACTTGTGTTTTCTATCAGACACCGTCATCTTATTTCTCCCTCGTCCACGTGCGGAGAGAGTAAAAATCGAACGAAAAACGTGGAGTAAGTTGTGTGTTCAGACGGAACAATGATGAGTGTCTATGATCAATTCGTCATTAGGAATTTTTGTGATTGTTCACTTACCTTGCGATTGATGCTCACTATCAGAAACTCCGCAAAAAGGCAAACATTAAAAAAAATCAAACTTGGGGATACACAATAGATAGCTAATCTCAATGCCAGTCAACGGTAGCAGTAATGCTTCGAGTACTAATTGGAAAAAAACAACGCATAAACTGTTTTCCATAAAACGGGCGATGACACTTACACACTGTATGTTTGTTATTTAGCAAGCACGCAATTTCCAGTAATCAGAGGGAAATAGTTTTCTATCCATTTTTTATTCGGTAGCATCATCCGACACCTCGGAAAAACGTGGTCTTTTCCAATTTCCTATTAACCAGTCTAATAGGAGCATTCTACCTATCACTTGCCGACGCTTTCCCCTTGAATGCAACAAACAACAGGCTTGTAAAGTACAAATAAGAAGAATCCGCAAGTAAACGGAACACATCGAGTTACCTATCTGTTTATGAGAACTCGCAAACCCTATGGTTCAGGCATGATAGGAACTCAGACCAGCGGAATGGGAACGGGCATCTTCTTATAGGAGGAACTGCAGTCTCGGTGGCCGTCTTTCATGTTGTTGTTGACCAAAGCGGAAACAAGACTTCACGTGATGTGCACGCTTCACTGAATTGGATAGCTTTTTAAGTGCACTTGAACACTACCGGGATGAGGATTGAAAGGTGGGAAGCAAGAGTCAGTGAACCAAGAATAGAATTTGTCATCTCACGCGGTCCGGACTCATCGAGGCGAACCAGACAGCCGTTGCGTTTGAACAAGATCCCATTGGTCATCGGGTTCGACGAGAGAGAGAGAGAGAGGATCACGCAAACCCGTTGCAGTTGTTCTTTGTCAAACACACCGATCTCGCCTGAGTGGCACTTGTGTCGATCTCGCGGCTTTATACATGTCTATTAGGAGCACGGGAGTGGAAGTTTTTCTTCTAGCGTGCACGGTTTCAAGAATAGCCCATCCGTCGGTGTTACGGCAATCGTACAAGTTATAATTTCATCATATTATCCACTTATAAGTCCTCATTTTGAGAGAGTGTCAAAATGTGGGCCTTGAACATTTCAATCGCTGACCGAAAATAGGATGCTGAAGTGAAACGGTTCATTAAATGAAGATATAATGTGCTCCCGGAGTATCGGACATAACAATAATGTGTATTTCTGCCCGGTGTTATCTATGTCCATTATTCCTCAGAATTGTACGTTATGGAAACCCACGAGAGAGGGGTGCATCTTTGTACTGCTCATAACTGCAAGCATCTTTTCACCCGGTCTCCTTTTTCCTACAGCGCATGAATGGGAATCGGGATGCTATGACGGAGAATTACAACACCATGGAACCGCCATTTGTTGCTCGTTTTGTTCGCATCTATCCGTTCAGCTTGGAGCCAACAAAAACGTGCCTCAAAATTGAACTGCTCGGTTGTGATGCACGTAAGTGTGTGACATTTGTCCGAAGCCCTGTTGCTAGATGTTCCCATAGTCCGCTTTCATAACTTCTCGATTGCTTAGAATCTTACATTCAGTTTCTGGTAGCCAGCAACCAACAACTTGCGGTTACAGTTAACAAGTTATCAATTTAGACAGCTGTGATAGAATATGATAGATCAAATTGGAGACACTGTTGCAATTCGGTTGATAATAATGTACAAAGAAAGTGTGATAAACTCCGTCTAAGTTGGAGTGATCTTTCCTTTTTGCCTCTCAGTTTAGGCACTGTTATTCGAGCTCCGAATTAATGACACGATGCGAGATCTGCGAACAGTTACTGCTCAACGCTTGAACACCCGCGATAACGGAATTAATGAATAAACGAATGGCCGGTAATCAGATCAATGAGTCTGAACGGGATTCGCACCTGAATATCTTCTTGACAGTCTGAACCAAGTAGTTTCAATCTGTTCTATACCTTTTTCATGTCAAGTTGTCCCAGTATCATATCATGTTGTCCGGGAATCATT